TCTTACAACCCACAGAATGCACAGCTGGAGATACTAAATTAACTCAGGAGCTTCTGTATGCCACGATGTCTTGGATTGGAAAGGCAAGATGTAGCTGGGGGTGTGTATTCTACTTCCATCTGTCAGAGGTGGGGCAGTTCTCTGCTGCTCATTGGACAGTTTTTTCTTTATCTCTTCCACAGCCAATCCTCCCTCCAGGAGATCTCTTCTGTTCATGGGCCATTAATTATTAATTATCTTCTGTTCATGGCCACTGAGTGTCCCTGCATGGCTGAGAAAATTCCATCATCCCATGGGGAGATGCTCTGCCCAGGGGAGGAGCCAAGCATTCCTACCTGGATACAATCTGACCTGGGAACAGCACAGCAGCCTTTGCCCACTGCATTCCCAGAGGAGCAGCTTTCTTCCCCACTGCATTCCCAGAGGAGCCCAGGCCCATCTCCCCCAGCCCTGGAGCTGCAGAGGAAAACTCCCCCCTTGTGCAGGATCCTGCTCCAGCAGAAGCACAGCTGGCACTGCAGGAGGGCTGAGCCACCCTGGGATGGGACTGCTGCCACCTCCCTGACACACAGGCTGCCAGGGCCTGCTCTGACTCTGGCAGGGTTGTTTGGTATTACTGCATTTTTATTTTATTTTTATTTTTTCCCTAATAAAGAATTGTTATTCCTACTCCTGTATCTTTGCCTGAGAGCCCCTTAATTTCAAAATTACAATAATTCAGAGGGAGGGGGTTTACATTCTGTATTTCAGGGGAGGCTGCTGCCTTCCTTAGCAGACACCCGTCTTTTCAAACCAAGACACAGGAAGTGTACTCTGCAAGTTAAATGCTTGAAAACCTTTTTCAGAAACCTCTGTGTATCCCACAAGAAAAGGCATGGAAGGCTTGGATCTGTTTAATAATGAACCAGAGCTCAGAGGAACCTGAGCATGACATCCTGAATGCTGCTTGGAGGAGGTCACTCTGAATCAGACACCAGCAAAGAATCCTCATTCTCAGCAGTATAGGCTGGTACAGGATTTAGAAGAAATAAATTATCATGGACAAATAATGATTTGTCTACTTTGGATTTAAAAGATGCTTTCTTTTGCATTCTGAAGAATGAGCAGAGCTAGACCATCTTAGCATTCAGGTGGGGAAATTCAGCAGGAGGAAAGGTGCTGCTATTCCTGCAGAATTGATAGTGGGACACTCATTTCAGGTGGTCACAACAGCTTACAGGGATTTTCACTGAGTTACTTCACTCTGTTGTTGTTCTCTTAATGCTAACCCTATTATGCTATGTCTTAATTGCAGCACTGAATATTTGCATTTGAAAAATCATGAAGCAATTGCCAGTCATCCCTGTGATTTATTTCTGGGAAATGTGTGATGTTCATAAAAAGTGAGGCTTTTGAGTGCTGTTGTGGCTTTATAACCGCAACTGGAGGAAATGACAAACAGCTCCCTAAAAGATAAATTATGTTTAATGTGTCTCAGTAATTGCAGGAGCTGTAGGAAAAAAAAAAAAAAAAAAAAAAAAAAAAGAATAGAAGAAACTTGAGATAATGTATCAACTGCAGCCAGGCATAAATTACTGCTGAAGCCACAAACCAAGGACACTTGGTGAATAAACTAAGAGAATGCCAGACAGAAAGGAGCAAAGCAAGGCCAGCTCATCAAATCAGAAATCAGGAATGGGTAATTTTGGCAACGGGACCCTGACTCACTGCCCACCAACCCAAAAAACTCACTGACTCAAAAGAGGAGAAAGACTGAGCATGAGGGCTAATTAGCAAAAGAAGTGAGAGAATAATTTAATGAATAGAAAATCGAATACTAGTTAATAAGATAACTCTGTGACTTGTAGCCAGTGAACATTAATGCCTTTGTTTGTGTATAAATAGTAACAAGTTTTGATAGTCACTGGGCTGGCTTTGTGGATTAGCCACCCAGCACCTTTTTCTGTAAATAAAGGAAATACCTCAGCTCTGTGTGAGGATCAGCCTTTTTCACACAGGGTGGAAAAAGCTATTTTGGGACAAGAGCATGACTTAGAATATCCCCCAGATTGATCTCTTGCACGATTAAATGCAAGGATAGGAATGGTGAAAGAGGCCAGGAGAGTTTAGAACTGCGGTGTCCTGTTGCAGCCAGAGCTGGGGAACAAATCCCCTGGGTCAGTGCCAGGTGAGGAGTGAGGAGTGAGGAGAAAGGGCTGGGTCCAGAGAAGTGTGGCTGCTGTGCAGTCAGACCCATGGGTCTGGCAGTAACTCAATTACTGAGTAAGGCAGTAGGAAACCCACCAGAACAGCCAGGAATTGAGAACAGCTGATCAGTCGAGACAATGGGCAAAACCAGAGGGAGTGAGAAGCAAGGGGGGTTCCTGCATCCAGCTTGCAAAGCTCCTGACTGAACAAAGTATAATGGTGTTGCTTAACAGCTTAGAGCCTATTAACAACAGAGAAAAAACACTAAAACACAAAAAAAAATGAGGGCAGGAGAGCAAAGACAGAAGAAGAGGAAGCATCCTGACCTAGTGATGTTGAGAAAACACCACAAAGTCATGAGAAACAACATGGGATTGTCCTGAAGCAGTGCATAACAGAGACAAATCACACTGTGTGTTACTTTGCTGTCTTGTCACCCACATCTGACACCCTCAGCCTCTGGCAGCCAAAGGACATCCCCAGGTGAATGGTGGCGTGGTTTACCACCCTGGCTGGGATGTGAAGTCTCACTGGGAGGTGGAAAAAAATACTCCTTGTCTGTCGAAGACCACCCTAGGTCGGGGGTGGCTCCATGTGGTGAAAAAATCTCTCCTCCAACCCATGCTTCCAAAAAAAAGCTCAGCAGTCTCTTGTTGTTCGGTCTCAAGGCAGTTTATTGCAAGTTATCTAAAAGATTTTCTTCTGGGGCTGCTGTGGTTTGCTCACAGCTCAGGCAGAGGCACACACACACCCTGACATCCTCTCTGACTCCCGACTGCTTCTTCTCTCCCCGCCCAGGGCTGCTGCTGTCTTTTATATGGTACATTACGTGTTACATGGTTACAGTTCTTCCCCAATGCCTATTACCTATATTAAATGGTGCTTTTCTATCTTTTATATGGTACATTACGTGTTAAATGTTTACAGTTTTTCCCCAGTGCCTATTACCTATATTAAATGGTGCTTTTCTACTCTAAACCAATATGTGGGTGCCAACATCACCAAGAACATGGAGGTAAGGTAGAAGAAAGAGGGAGGACAGGACAGGCCCAAATCCCTCCATCTTAAAACTTCTGACCCCATGTACAAAACTAAAACCCCCTGTATAGGTGCTAAACCCCCCCTGTACAGCACTAAAAATTTCTTCCCTCTACTTTGTAACTACTTCTACTATAACATCTAAACTTTTGTGACTTCTTGTCCTTCCTGCAAGGTTGGTAAATCGTTCCATGGTTCAAATCCAAAATCACAGCTGTTTCCAGCTGCCTGCCAGGGTCTCAAATGCTTCTGACCTGGGCCCGGAACATCCAAAAATGTCTGAGGGACATTTTGAGTTCCAACACTTGTCCTGTGGAGGGGGCCCTCACCCACTTGCTTTTTGCATGGAGGGATGAGGAGGCTGAAAGGGTCCCCTGGATGGCACAGGACCAGCATCCCCAGCAGGCAACACTGGTGGGAGTGGGGCACAGCAGCTTGAACCAGCAGGTTCTGCCCCAGGTGTGTGTGCACTGACTCACTGAGATGCCTTTTTATGGGGGAGAAAAGGCAAGTTGTTGCTCAGGTGTTTCCAAATAACTCTGCCATTCGTCCCTGACATCATATTATGCAATACAGCCAAGGAACGAGGAACTCGGGTGTGTGATGAGTAGTTTCATTTCTGCTGTTCACTAAACATAACAGGTAAATTAAAGTAAAAGACCCAACATGTTACATTGTTATTTCCAGGGCTATCACAAAGCTGTCTCCTTAAATTTCACATTTGCCTGACAAAGCCCCTCCAAGGCCTTTGATGGAGACAGTTTTGTCAAGTCAGAATTATGTTTTGAGGTGACAGCTGTAACAGATTCAGAATTGCCTTTGATAAATGCATTTGCTGCATTAGTGCTAAACTTCCTAAGGCTACACAGCGGTTAATTAATCATTCACAATTCACTAAAAGTTCAGCAATAATTAAGCTTAGCTGGATATAATAATTAATCTGGATATCATCTGCTGAAGGCTGGGCTGCTGTACAGAGGTGTGGCTGCTCTTCTGAGAGGCTTCAGTGAGAAGAGGACTGAGAGATTTTTACAAGGACAGGTAGTAGTAGGACAAGGGGGAATGGCTTTAAATTGAAAGAAAGTAGTTTAGATTGGATATTAGGAAGAAATTCTCCCCTGGGAGGGTGGGCAGGCCCTGGCACAGGTTGCCCAGGGCAGCTGTAGCTGCCCCTGGATCCCTGGAAGTGACCAAGGCCAGGTTGAACAGGGCTTGGAACAGCCTGGAACAGTGGAAAATGTCCCTGCCCATGGCAGAGGGGTGGAACAAGATCATCTTTATGTTCTTCCAACCCAAACTATTCTAGGATTCCCTGTCTCTGAACTTCTGGCTGTGAGGTCCCCCCTTCTCTGTGGACACAGTTCATGTGTTAGGATATCCATGTCCTAAATTGAGCCAGGTGCAAAGTAAGCAAGTGGTGCCCACTCGTGGCAGCTCTGGTCTTTTGAAACAGCCTGGTCACTTCCACAAAAGCCAAACATTTCTCCTGTGAGAATTACTTTCATTTCTGCTCCTTCTTGTCATAATAGGAAGGTGGAGCCTATAAATAAAAAGCATCTGAAGAAGTTTCAGAAAGTCACTGTTTCTCCTTTCTACAGGGCACTTACAAGGGTAAGTTTCTCCCTTCCTTCTTTTAAAAAGAGTAATGCAAATTTTTACTATTATCTTCATTCCTTTTAATGTGTCAAGGCTGCATAAAGTGTCTACAGTAAGTGTGATTAAACAGGGTTTCCAGGAGCAGGATTTTTTGCTTTCTGGGATGGAAAAAAAAAAAAAAAAAGAAAATATGTCAGTATTATTTCCTCTTTAAAAGGAGACAACTGAGAGATAGCATTTAATTTTTTTTTAGCCATTATTGAGCAAGATGATCTATCCATCACTATTTATGAGTAGGATCATAAGCTTTGCATTGCTTCATTCTCTTTTTGAGAAGACAGCTGGAGTTAAAAAACATACAACACAGGAACTGTGAGGTTTACCCAAATATCATGAGGTCACAGGATGTGTCAGCCAGAAATCCATGTGCTCCTTTTGCTGGACAGAGAGTGAATAAATCCAGGAACTGTGTGGATTCAGCACTGCAGCTCTGCACCTTGGGTTTGAGAGGGGATTTTTTTAGAAGGGGCTTTTCATCTTCTACAGATGCAAAGCTAAAGAAAAAAAAAAGAAAACCAAAAAAAAACAGATAAAAACATAGGAACTCCTCTTCAGAACTATCTATTTGTGGTATTTGTGCAGATGTGGGTGTACAGCAGAGTGCTTCGTGTTATTTTAAAGAATTTGCCTCACACAGGCAAATTCTAAAGGTAAAGCTGAAGGAAATCAGTATTATCCCGACAAAGGCGGCAGGTCCAGCTCTGGTGAGAGGAAATTTTTGGCAGATTTTCAGTATCACCACGTCATGCAGGTGTAATGTTTCACATGTGGCTTCTGGCCCATTGTAGAAGAGCTCTTTACAATTGCAGCTTTTTTTGTTTTCCTCTCCTCCTTTCTTCCATCCGATGTTGTCGCGGCTCTGTACACAAAGAAATCGCTATGCCCGTGTGGCACAGGGAAGGGTCCAGAACCCACCCTGCAGGTACCTCTGTGCTGGCTCTGCACCCTGTGGTCTGCTCCCCATCTTGGTGTTTGTAAAGGGTGACAAAAGATAATCAACTCTCCCCAGCATCCTCAGCCTTCCCCACGTCCTTCCACCTCTGTGATTGCCATGGGGTTTGTCTTGAATAAACACGCCAGGTGGGTATTGCAGGATGGCTGGATGTTTGCATAATTAATTCATTCCAGAGATCAGGAACTGAGATGTTTGTGATGGACTTTGGTGTACACTGGCCACAAAAAGAATATAAAATGCTGCTGGAGGCTGAACCAACAGGGCAAACTGGTGTCACAAAGCAAGAAGTTGATTTTTCCCCATCCCCTTCTCTCCCCATCCCCACTAGGGATGCCCACAAGCTCCAGTGCTTTTGCAAAGGTGTTAAAATACCCAAGGTCCACCTAAATACAGGCATAAAATCCTAAAGTAGCTTCAGAGGTGCTTTTTTGCTTTGCAATGGTGAATTCTGCAAAGCCAAAGGCTGGAAATCTGTACATTTCCACCTGAACCTGCGCATATTGTAACCCTTTAGACATGAAGGGTTTATCCGGAGATAAAGTGGAACAACGTGCACCTAAACTGCTCTGAGAAGTTTTGGAAGCAAGGGGATCTTACTTGTGACTCAGCAGAAGGACCATGACCTGATAATAATCCATTGTAATAGATGATAAAAGTTGTTGTTTTGATATTGCACTGCCAATATCTACATACTGTACTAGCAATAAACCTAATTATAAATGCTCACACAGTCACTGTGTCCAGTTTCTCATGCCTGGCCCACAACCTCCTGTCAACTGCTCTGCTATAATGTGTGGTTTTTTTTCTAAACTTGTTTTACACATTGAAAACAAGTTGTATCAGATCATCCTATTTCGGCATCTGTTTAAATTAGAAAGCCTGTAAACTTAAATCAACAAAAAAAAAAACTTAACAGAACAGGAAGTTATGTAAAGCAAATATGTGGTTCTCCTAATTTGTTTTCCAAAGTGCTTGAGTTAAACAGATCCTGGTTTTGGCAGAGGGAGGCTAAAAAATCTAGCTTTGAAAAAGGACTCTTGAGATTTTTTTTCCTTAAATCACTTTCTCCGGAAATTGCCTTCCCTGGATAATGTCACAACAAAAAACCACTAATTTCCTCAGTCACTCATAGAAAACAAAACTTTTCCATAAGGAAATGCTGAACAAGGAAATAAAAAGCCTCCTAGTCCTCCCTTCTCTAACATCATGTGAAGAAAAGTCTGCTTTTGGCAGAGGGTTTTAAACTATAGAGGAGGGGACCAAGATACAGAGATTAGAAAAGAGATGTCAGACTTGCCTCTGACAAGTATTTCTTCCACAGAAGAGGTGAGAAGGGCACTAGGGCACTATGTCTACACAGCCCTACACTTCTGAGCCCAGGAAGTTAAGGATTCACATTCCCTCCAATCCTGCCCTGATACTGACTGAACTTCTCCAAACACCTTTCAGCAACATTTTTCATCGAGGAGAACTGGCTTTTTGCAAAACCTGTTATAAATTTTTTTTTCCCAAAACCAAAATACCGTTTTTTCCTGTGGCATTTTTTTTTTTTAATATCAAAAAATAAAAGCATAAGAGAGATAGGGAGAAGGGTTTCAAGTCTATCCTCTGGAGAGCAATTTTAGTGATTTGAAAAGAGCTGTGGCAGTTGGTACCTACCAAGGGTTTGGATCAGGAAACAAAAGAGGTGTTTGATTTTCTCTGCTCTGATCATTCTTGCCAGGTGGAGTCACTCACTTCCTCCTGTTTGGTTTCAGAAGCTGCACCTCAGAGTGGTTGGACCAGGCAGTGATTAATATTTAGTGAAGCACCATGGACAAGATAAATTCAAGCCCAATAAATCAGCAGACCATGGATAAAAAGAAGGCAGCATTCAAACAACCTTCTGAAAGGACCAACAATACCCTAAAGAAAGAGGGGTTTGTATTTTCTTTTGTAAAACCATTTCCAGAAGCTGCTAAAATTCCTCTCCCACCAGAGGAACCAGAAGAAGATCCTGACCTGTCAGAGGAGCTGTTTGAGAGCAAACCTAACTATGACCAGGACTTGGAGAAAGAGTTTTCCAGAGAAGAGGACACAGTAAGTCAAGGGGAGGGCACAGATCCTCCCCACTTTTACTCTGTTGTTTCACTTTGTGCCCCAAAATTAATTCCTTTGTCTCTTTGGGCAATCTGCATCTGTTAGGTTTAAGGAGAACTTTTGGGATGAGGCCTAGCAATTATTCATGTAAGTAGCAAGAGAGGTATCTGCAATTAATATGCAGACATTAATAATGCAGGTCTAAAAAAAAGAGATGGCTTCAGCCTAAAAGCCAATTTAATGTGTGACATGTGTCTGTTTCAATCCTAGCAACAAATGTTGAACAGAAATCATAAAAGCTGAGGGTTTTTTTTCTTGAGGCTCCTTAACCCTTAACAGAAATGCACAGCAAGTTTTATTATAACCTGCTTGGATATTTAACACTGAACACAGGTTGGTTCTATGTCTGTGACACAGTTATTGAAGTTTTTTGAGAATTTACTAGCTATTAAACATTTTAGTGAAGAGAGTGAGCAGGGGTTACCAAAAAGGGTTTAAAATGCTTGCCTCCAATAATTTATGCTGCCTTCCTCATCTTGAACCAAAACATCTGCTTTGTTTGAGTGCATCTGATCCATAGACATACTTCTGGAGGTATTTTTCTTGGATAAAAGTGATGGAGAGAAACTTCAATTTCTCTTTTCAAAAAATCCGGTTTGAATATGCCTGGCCCAATATGTCTGAAACATATTGGTGCTCCCAAAATTGAATATCTAACTGCAGCAGTCAGGCTGGAACACTGAGAGAGGAACAGGGATAAGAAACCAAGCTGATCTTTATATACTTTAGCTGACCGTATTTAACAGCCAGATGGACCAGTTTTGCCAAAGACTGGAAATTATTTGTTTTGTTTTCACATAAATGAAGAGTCTGTGTTAATATCTGGACCTGTGTCAAACCCAGAAAATGACAATAATAATCAGTCATTTAAAACAACCCACTCATATTCATGCCCTATGGGAGCCTAAAATTAGGCAAAGAAGAAAGAGCCATGATGATCTAAAAGATTTCAGCCACCTGTTAAGAATGTTACAGCAGAACTCTTTTTGTGCCTGTGCACAAACTAAACCTTCAAACTCCAAAACAAAGATCTAATAAGCTATTTTTTACCAAATTGAGTGATTTCTGGGATCAGTCTTCATTTGCATACACATGCTTCAGTACATCTGTGGATTAGTGGAAGAAAATGGCAGTCACTGAAAAAACTGTTATTAAAAAAATTAACAAAGCACACTTAGTAATGTGTTCTTTATCTTTTCAGGACGGCTTCCAAAGTTTGTTATTTTTACTAAGGATGGTCTGTGAACCAACCTCAACTCTTTCTTTCATATTTACAGACACCTGTTTATTACATGGAGATGGAAGGATGCACAGTGATATGAAGTAGAGCTTGATGCCAGTAAACAATTTTACTAAAGATCGACGAATAGAAAACGCATCTCTTTTTTTTCTTTTTTTTTAATTTTTGACTATGGAAAATTCATTGTAAGTTTAACTCTTAACAGGATGCAGAGCACACCTTGTGCAACAAATATGAGGAGAAGATCCGACCCTGCATTGATCTTGTGGACAGCCTGAGAGCTCTTGGAATAGAAAAGGACCTGTCCTTGCCTGCAATTGCAGTGATTGGAGACCAGAGCTCTGGGAAAAGTTCTGTCCTCGAGGCCCTGTCTGGTGTTGCTCTCCCCAGGGGCAATGGTAAGAATTCACTTTCTCATATTTTCTCTTTGATGAGGTGGAAGGGATTTTTTTTTCTTTTTTTCTTTTTTTTTTTTTCATCTTTTTTTTGTTTGATCTAGAATTGGATAACACCATGACTGAGAAATGGAGGTGTGAGTGAGGCACCACAAGCTAAATTTAAGGCACATGTTCCAGGTGGTCAAGAGACCAGGAGTGAGAAGTGTAGTGTGATTACCTAGCTGACTCTGCATTTCCCAGAAAGCAGCAGTGCAGCAGAGTATTAATTTCACATGGAAAACCAGTTTTTAAATTTGCTTTTGGGATTGTCTTGGGTTTTTTAAAATACATTTTCTTACAGATATCTTTTATTATTACTATTATGTGTAAAGTGTACAAATAACTTTACTTAAAGCATAAGTCAGAGATGATTGTTGAAAGAAGTTCAAGAAAATCCACTTTCCAGCTCTGTGTGTGTATTTTTGCACACATAAATTCTGCAAGTTCCATGTGAATTTACAATATAATCTAGTCTTCCAGGCTGGAGTTGTGGATAGGTATTTCATAGGATTTAGTTGCAGCTCTGAAACAGATCATCCAGAGAGGAGCAAAACTCCATCTGTGGAGGTTTGCAGGGCCAGACATGTTTGGGAAGAGCCATGGCTGACCTCATCTAGCACTGGTGACTGTCCTGCTCTGAGCAGGAAGCTGGACAAGTCCCTTCTGGCAGCGTCTCTTGGAACATTTCCACATTTTTGTGTGACACAGGCAACACTCTGTTCACCACACACTTCAAGGCCATGTTTCATGCACAACCTCTGCCTTTGGAACTGCTGCAGGTATTGTCACTCGATGTCCCCTGGAACTTAAACTGAAGAGGTTGCCTGAAGGGCAGGCATGGCAAGGGAAGATCTCCTACCGAAATGTAACCCTGGATCTCCAGCACGCCTCTGAGGTGGACAGAGCAATAAGGCAAGGTGAGTGGATTTGGCTGGCTCCATCTCCTCTGAATCCTCCTCTAAGACTGAACAGCATCCACGGTGATTGTGGAGAAACACCAAGAGCTGGAATCAGAGCAGAAGCAGCTGGGTCAGCAAAACTCAGTTCTCTCAAGGGAGCTGTACCGGTGCTTCTGTGGTGAAGATGATTTATGATGATGATCCCAGAATGGCCTAGATTGGAAGGGACCTTAAAGGTCTTCAAGTTCCAACACCTCGGGCAGGGATGCCACCCACTAGATCCATGATCCTTTTATCCTGATCCAAGGTAAAGTCACAGGCTGTGTCCTTACCTGCGTGGTGGCTTCCTGGTTTCCTGGCTTGGGGAGGTTGTCTGTCAAATTGTAAGCATGGAGCTTAAATGGTTCCTGTCATGAGTTCAAAAGCCCAGAGAGTGCTTGAGGTGTCTCTGGCTGGAAATGTTATTATTTTGGAGGAAATTGCAAGAAGACAGAGTGCAGAACAGAGAGCTTCTGTCAGGAACTGTGACCACAGGCTCAGTCATTGCCTTCACATGTCTCAACTTTACTGTTATGGTATTTCATGCTGGGTAAGGAATCAGTGTTCCTACCCAAAGGGCAGCAAGCACTTGCCCTAAATGTGAAAGTTGGATTGTCCTTACTTTCTTGACTAGCACAGCTCTGCAAATTGTTATTATTTATATATTTTTTAATTAGCTTTTCAACACATTATTTGGATATTCTCAAAACTGGCCAGGCAATTGATATGAATTAAGGTAATTAAAGAGCTGAAAATCTCTGATGAAAATGAGTGGGGTTTCCTTGCTTCTCTGTGTTCATAATTCAAGCATTATTGCCTTGTAGTATCTGGGACAATTTACTTTCAATCTCCCTATCAAAATGTGAAGAACATAGAAGACCACCTATATTTTTTTCACGACATCCAAGGATTAAATAATGCTTACAAAGTCTCTTGCTGTTGAGGAAGCATTTCTACAACTGACCAGTGTTTTACCTGATCCCTTTCATTGTGGTTTATTTATATGCATTTTGTCTTCATACACAAGAGTCCCTAAATATAAGCTCTGTAAAATATCACAGCTCATATTCCAACAGGACTTCACATCAACTTGTTCTGGATGATATTTTCCTTAGATTTTTGCGTAAGTGGGTTTAAGTGTGTGGCTGGATATGAAAGAAAACGCCAAGCCTGAAAGAAGCTTAGGTGGTAGTCGGTACATTTCAAAGTCATTGTGTTCAGCTTTGGTTTGATGCATCATTTGAAGCTTGTATCCATTGCCTTGCTCTTTTCACAGCCCAGGATATTGTGGCTGGCCCTAGAGGTGCCATTAGCGGGCATTTAATTTCCCTGGAAATTCGTTCCCCTGATGTCCCAGATCTGACACTAATTGATCTTCCTGGAATTGCCAGAGTGGCCGTGGGGGACCAGCCAAAAGACATCGGGGACCAGGTAAACTCAGCCTCATGTGCCAATCTGTGCCCAGGGGCTCATCCCTTCAGGGCTCCCAGCAGACTTTCTGTGAAGTAAACAGAATAAGTGGACAGGATCTCTGCTCTTCCTCTATCTGTTTTAGGAAGAAATGCTGGGGAATGCAAATAAAACTCTGCTAGGATAAGGCCTGCTGTGAGGGTGATGTGCAGGAGATGGGTGTGTTGTTTCTCCTAAAATACCTTTAAATGGGAATTTGGAATACGAGGAGACCAAATTAAACTAGATATACCAAATAGAAATGAGAAAAGGTTAGATTGTCTGGGCTTTACTTTTTGGGAGGAGAGTAATTTAATTCTACAGTTAGATAGCAATCTTTCTCTTGTGTTGAGAAAAAAAGCAGCAAATGTGATAAAATCTAAACATTTCCATTGTTCCCACCTGTCTGCATGCTCCAGCGATGGAGTCTGTAGCACTGCAGCCTGTCAGAAACTGGGATGGGTGGGAAGTAGAAAAGAGAGGCATCATTACCAAAATCCAGGGAAAAAAAAAAATAACTGATTTACTGTGCAATAAGCACAATAGTGCTCTCTGAAGCTTCTACAGATTATGAGGAACTCATTTTGTTTGGCATTGAAACATAGAAAAACACCAACTAGATGTCATGTGCATCTTCATTTTGGTGCTTTTTAAAATTTTCCTGCAAATATTCCACTGAAAAATAAGCTAAAGACATTTGTGCTCCTTTCACAGATATAAATCCGAGATTTATCAGCATAATTGAGCTTGCTTTCTTTCCATAAGTGTTTACCTACACACCAGAACCTGATTTTCTTACATGTGTTAGATATCAAATACCTTTAATATTTCTATACTGAAAGATTATATATGCACAAGAGGTTAAACTCCATGCAGCTGTCAAGACAGGCTTAACATTAGTCTGGTCTCATTCATGCCAGATATTTGGATTAATCCTGACATAAGGAAAGGGGTTGCATTTTTCTGCTGGTCCCTTTCCATACCATCCTCTAGCACATAAGACTATCCTCAGCACATATAGCATTTAATGTCATCAAGAAATTGCTTATATTGTTAGAAATTGTCACATCCTACAAGCAAGTGTCTAATTTCACTGAACCTCCTCACTGCTGTTTTGAATTGCAGATCAAAAGTCTACTTAAAAGAATTATTGGCTGCAAAGAGACAATCAATTTGGTAGTGGTGCCATGTAACGTGGATATTGCAACAACAGAAGCATTGAAAATGGCTCAAGAGGTGGACCCTACTGGACAAAGGACAATAGGTGAGATAATTTTTTAGGCTATGAGCTGAAAAGGGGGTCAAGTATTTATTTTCTCCCTGCCATGAGGTCTGATGGTCTGTGTTCTGTGAAATTGGCTACAAGAAGAAGAGGGGGAAAAAAACCCCAGAAAACAGCCTAAAGAATATATTTGCAAGCATTTCTAGTCACAGTTCTTGAGTAGCTCCAAGATGTTTTCTTGCTGGCACTCCTGTTATGAATAACTGAAAGCTGAAAATCTCAGTTAATAGTAGTTGATCTGAAGTTAATGGTAAAAAAGCTTTGCTTAAAAAAAAAAACAACTTTAAAGAAAGGTTTACAATGCAAAAGGCATGGTGGGAGGAACTGCAGAGTGACTTTTACAGCCTGGGAGCATAGAACTTTCTAGGAGAGAGAATACAAAAAAAATTTCTTTATAAAACATGGTACAGAGTGTTCCTGCTTGGTGGTTAACTTTCTCTTTTAACTTCACAGGAATTCTCACAAAACCCGACCTCGTGGACAGGGGAACTGAAGAGGCTATTGTTAAAATACTGAGAAACAGGGTAATCCCCCTCAAAAAAGGCTACATGATTGTGAAGTGCCGTGGGCAGCAGGACATCCACGACAAACTGACCTTGGCTGCTGCAATCCAACAGGAGAGAATCTTCTTTGAGAACCACAAACATTTCAGGTACTCCTCACAGAGATGTTCTCATCAAAGACACGTTAAAGTCACATCGAATCTTCTTGTTGATTTGCTGAGATTTAACTGTTTAGAGGTCACAAACAGGTATTATTTATACTCAATATTTCTCATTGCCCATGTAGGATTGTGTTTCAGCAACCCAGAAGATTTCTACATACTAAATAAACTTTTTTAAATGTTTTGGGGGTTTTTTGGATGCAAAATACATGGGGGAAGTTGCTGTGAACTTCAGAAGTTCCAAATAATTGCAAAGAATTCGAGTTAGAGTATCTGAACACTTCCATCAGGCACTGAAGTATTTCTGTTGACTGTAAAACATGGAGGAACAGCACGAGAAAAGCTGTGCTGAGGACACAGGCTGCCCAGATGACTCAGCAGCAAATCAATCATAATACAGAGAATGTAATACAGAGGACCCTTGTTAGCAGCTGACAAGGGTTGTGAACTTCACATGTGGAGAAATAATAGAGCAGCACATTCATCTGCTGTTAGAATTTGCTTTTTTCAGATTTTTCTCTGTTTCCCTTTGCTCAGTCTGTAGCTGTCAGACAACTCTTGAATAAGCCCAGAGTCCTGGGCTGTTGCCACATCTGCACCAGCACGGCCCAGAGACCCTTTCTTTACCCAAATTGTGTAATAGAATTAGTGAAAACAGAGCAGAACATCAGTGCTGCCTCCTTGCCCTGCACAGCCTGGCTAACCAAACCCACCTTTTCCTCTTTTTTCACAGGGCTATTATGGAAGAAGGGAAGGCTACTATCCCCCGTGTGGCAGAGAAGCTCACAGATGAGCTTGTGAAACACATTATTGTAAGTAACAGAAGTCCCATACTGAGCTGTTTGTATCAAATATGTAAAAACAAGTTCAACCCTTCAACCTTGGACTGCAGTTGGATTTCATCTTTATGTGCTTAATGATCCTTCAACTCAGTGATCAGAGAACAAACTGGACTGAGAGGCAGAGGTAAAAAGCCCCATGCTCTGTCTTCAGATTATCCTTTTAACTGCAGATCAACAGTAAAACAATTATTTCATCTATTTGTGGCTCATAATTCCTGCCTTTTCAATGACAGCCATGATATTTCTTTTTGTTTATGAGTGTTGATCACCTGGGTGATGAGTTACTACTGTCAGCTTACAGAAACAGTGATTTCTATTCCACTGAAAATGTCTTCTAAACATCAAGATGTTCTATTATATTAATATACTTGTGTAAGGGTATTGGGGGTTTTTATTTGGTATAAATATATCTCCATCATCAAGAGAAGATGCTAAAATATAGGGAACAGCTAAATTCAGTCTCAAGTGAGAAAAAAATTATTTATGTAAATTTACCAAAAATAAGGAACTAAACAGCCATGTTCCATCAGGAATTGAGCAGTCACCACTTTCGTGGCACGGCCTGTGAGGATATTGGCTTTGGTTCACTGTGGGTGAAATTTTGTCCTAGACTGCAGCTGTTCTGCCCAGATCTCAGTGAAGTCCAGCCTGATGCCTCAAGAAAATCCTGACTTCCCTCAATAAAGGCCATATTTGCTTTTCTGTGTTATCCCACTGCCACGCATAGGACACTGACAGCAAACTCTTGGATTTAAAAAACAGCAAAGATCCCCCTCAGGTGAAGATCACTCTTAGAGGGATTTTGTTTTCCTTCCAAAATCAGACAGGTTCAACCTATCTCAATGTCCTTCTGTCTCCTCCCCAGAAAACTTTGCCAGCACTGGAGAGCCAAATTCGTGACACCTTCCACAAAACATCGCAGGAGCTGCAAAAGTACAACAGAGGCACACCTCAAACAGAGTCTGAGAGGCTGTTTTTCCTCACAGATGTAAGTATCAGTATTGGTCACAGAGCAGGGCAAGGAGGTAACTGTGGGAGAAAAAGAAACCACCTGAAATTATCAAAACATCAGCATGGACCACTGGGAAGTTTGAGGTATCCATAATTTCAGTGAGGGTAACACAGACCAACCACACCTGCAAAAATAATGGACCACAGGAGCTCATGGCCTCGTCTAAAAATTTTTTCCTGTGATTATGGGACATGAAAACTAAACAACTTGGTTGATTGGGTCAAAATCATGCATCTCAGCAAGGGAAAACAAATTGCTGCATGCTCAACATTTTGAAGGTTTCCCATTGTTTACACACATAACATCAAACGTATTCGTGATACCAAAATGTGGTTTGCACGTCCATCTAAGTGCCTCATCTCATGGAGTTACTCTCTGAGTAAGTCTTCAGTAGGCTTTAGAGGTGTTTATGGAAGCTCACCAGACTTCATACAAGTCTGACCTATTAGAATTTAGTAAATGGCTCTAAAAGTCTACAGGGGGAAAAAAAAAACAAACAAAAGAGTATAAAGTTTGTTCTCCTCTAGCTGTTACAGTGTGGGGGGAAAAATTAAAAAAAAAAAACAAAAACCCAAAAAAAAACCAGGAGCTAAGAGCACAAAAGATATAGGAAAGGGATGTTTTTCATTAACTCTGTCCCTGCTTTAACATCAAATAACTGCTGATTTGCTTAACATCCACAAATTACTCTGAAGAAATGAAACTTCACTAAACTGCCTGCTTGTTGTTCAATTCACTGCAGTTGATCAAACTCTTCAACCAAGACATCTCTCAGAGCACACGGGGAGAGGAGCAGCTGTTTGGGGATGAGGTCAGACTGTTCACCAAGGTCCGCAAGGAATTCTGCTCATGGGGCGTGATCCTCCTGGAGTCTGATGCGAGGGGTAAGCACAAAACAGTCTCAAGCTGTGCCAAGGGAAATACAGGTTGGATATTAGGAAGAAGTTTTTTACAGAATGGGTGATAAAGTTCTGGAATAGCTGCCCAGGGAGGTGGTGGAGTCACCATCCCTGGGTGTGTTTAGAAAAGACTGGATGTGGTGCCAGGGTTGAGTTGAGGTGTTGGGACTGGGTTGGACTCAATGATCTTGAAGTTCTCTTCCAACCCAGTGATTCTGTGAATTCTGTGAACCCATCCTGGCAGCTGACCTGAGAGCCCATCCCCTTGCTTTTAAACCCAGACACAGCATCTTCAGTAAATGTTTTCCAAGAAAATTAAGAGCAAGAAGCCAGGAGCATCCATCTGTTGTGGTGTCCTGGGGACACAGACACAGTTTGTGTTAAATTCTGTCATTACAGAGAGGTCAGTGCTTGTCTCTCCTCTCCCAGCACAGCAATAAAATCAAGACACTGGCACAGAATTTGTTGGTGATTTTCTGAACTGTTCTTCTAAGTAACAGCAACACGAATCACAGAATCACAGAATAATGAGGTTGGAAGAGACCTCTGAGATCAAGTCCAGCCTATGCCCTAACACCATAACTAGACTATAGCACCAAGTGCTATATGAATAATAATAAATAATAAAAATCTAGATAATAATTTTTATTTTTACTCTTAATGTTTTTATTTTATTATTGCTATTAATATTTTAGAATCTGGGTGGGGTTTTTTTCACTTTAGCTCTGGGCTAAGGTGATACCTCATACAAAAAATTAGCAAATTTGTACAGTATCAACAAAGAAATACTGACTGTGATATCTTAAATAAAAATAACCAGTCAACAGTAGATTCCCCAGAAACAGTGTTTAGTGAGCTTGGAGGGTTTTTTTGGGGTTTTTTTTTTGTTTAGGTTTTTTTTTAAACTTGGAAGTGACTGGTAATGGCCAGCTACTTCTGTGAGGGTAAAAATACCAAGAAGAACCAGAATTTTTGTGGCCCACCATAATTTCTGTCAGTCAGATGCTTGATGCAATGTGTGACATGCCTCATTCAGAGAACAACGTGTTAGCTCTGTTCTGTGGTAACAAAACATCATCTCAGTAGTTTTTCCTCTCAAGAACAAATCAAAGAGGAGAAATATACTTCCTTCTTAAACCTGAAACGCATACATTGAGTGATTTAGTAGCAAAGTAATGTTATTTTACCATTGCAGCTAAAAAAGCGGTCCCTGGTAAAGTGTGTAAATATGAAGACCAGTACCGTGGGCGGGAAATCCCAGGCTTCAGCAACTACAGGACTTTTGAGGACATTATAAAAGAGCAGATCAGAGAACTGGAGGAGCCAGCAATTGAAATCCTGAACAACGTGATAAGTATGGCCCAACCCATGGGTGGCTCTTGTTGGGGGACACTGCTGGGCCTGACAAGTTTATTTTCCAGGAGCTGATGTTCTCACTGATGCTCTCAGGATCCTTCAGAGTGTGGAAGTAAATCTGATTCAGCTTGGGGATTGCTATTACAAATGCTAACAGCATTTGTTAATACTTTTCCCACTGGCTCTTGGAAGGGAATTAGTAAATAACTATAAAAAATAGAAAATAACTATAAAAAATTAGAAAATAGCTATAATAAATAACAAAGCAAGGAAACAGTATAGTAGAAGTACTTGGTGTTAAGTGGTCACACTCTTGGACCTGGAAATCTAAATTTCTACTTGTTTGTATGTATCATAAAGGCAGAGTGCACCAGTACAGCAGCTCAGCTATTTCTGAATGGATACAGAAAATGAGTAGTCTCCCAAATCTCATACTAACAATAGCTTAAAACCCTCACTTACGTACCTGACTTTATTTTGTCTCTCTGTTCTTCCCTTAGAACTGGTTGAAGAGAAATTTATTGAACTCGCTAACAGGAATTTTGCTAATTTTCACAATCTAAACAGAGCTGCCAAGGTGAGGCACTACTATAACCTGAGATTCTCAAAAGACAGAATGGCATTTGTAAATACATCCATGATTGTGGCACCTTATGCAAGTATGGAATTTCTTGCAGGAAAGTAAGAAAGAGTCTGAAAATGGTGGCATGATTATAATGGCACTAAAGAAAGTGCATTTTGCACAGCTTTGACAAGATCTAATATATACATTCTTTATTCAATCTGCCCACATTCTTGACAGTGCAAAGAAAACCTGGTGTGGCTACCTTGAAGAGCTTATCATTAATTTCAGATTCAAGTCCTGCAATGATTTCTCAGAGTGCTCAACTGTTTTCTCCTCTCTGAAAGCAAGCCTGGGTTTTAGCCAGTGCAGGAATCTCATCTTTGATGAAAGGGAGCAGGAGCAGACAAACCAAAAATCATCCAGCCATGAAAAAACTAGAAGATGGCTGTTCACAGTTTGGGCATTTGCATGTTTTAGGGTGGATGCCCTTGAAGGACACCACCTATATATTCAGTGGTGTGGTTGTCTTTGAAGGCCTTTTCTCAGAAAGAGCTTGAGGAAAAGATGAGAAACATTGAGGAAAAGATGAGAAGCAATGCTGGCAGCCAGGAAACAGAGTCCACTCACAGGGTACTGCTGAAAAAGGAAACTCAGGGGCAAATGTGAGTGAAATAGGTGGTTTGCTATTTCACTTGCATGGTCAAACCCTCCTGAGCTCCCAGGCCAACAAGACAGTGAACAAATAAATTACTTCATACAAACCCAGAGGTGTTCAGGCAGGGTGTTTAGGTGTAACACAGTGAGAGGAATGAAGAGGGAAGAAGTTGTGGCCAACACTGGACATGAGAAAAGGTATGGGGTGTTTTCTTAGGGATGTTAGGAAAGCATTTTAAGGGAATTTGAGAATGACTGAGGGAACTTTGCCAAATCCACAGACTTTTAGGTGGAAGTATCAAAAAGGCCAGAAAGAGTCAAATGGCTGCAATAAAAGCACCAGACACAGAAGGGTTAGACAGGGTTGGTTTGCTGACTGCAGATATTTTCCTTTGGGTTTCAAGCACCAGGTTTGGGCTGATCCCACTCGTGTGTAAGGAGGGGACAAAACTGCCACATTTTCCTGCTCTTTCACGAGAGAGACCACAATGCAAAACATTACTCCTTGTTCCCATGTTCTGGGATTAGACAGTGCTGCACAAGGGCAGTTGAACACTGTGCCCACCTTGCCATTCCCTGGGGATGCTGCTAAGCACTGGCACCTTCCCAGAGGGAGCAAATGTCTCAGAACTTCTTTTCCTTTCTTTTCTAGATGAAAATTGAAGACATTAGAGAGAAGCAAGCGGTGGAGGCTGAAAGACTTATCCGGACACAGTTTAAAATGGAGAGAATCGTGTACTGCCAGGATGACCTTTACACTCATGATTTAAATACTGTTAAGGCACAAAATGTTTTCAACACGTCCTCAGAAAAAGATCTGAAGTATCTGTTTGCTCCAAAGGACTCGTCTCTTACCGTGGAGATGGCTTCTCACACCAGTGCCTATTTTTCTGTGAGTTCACAGGCAGATTTGCTGCCCCCTGAATGCCACAGCAAATCCCCCTCAGCCAGATCTTGCTGGAGTCAATAGAGCCTTGTATGCCACGCTAGCAGTGTGCAGTGAATAGCCAGGGGGTATCTCAGTGTCTCATTCAGGTAGATGCTCAGCTTCTCTGCAAACTACGTGGAATTTCTGACCAGGGATGAGAGTGTCAGGGCAAAGCTGGGCTGTATCAGCAGGTTGCAGGATGCAGGATATGGTGATTAGAAAAGCCTGAAGGTGCCAAAGTGACAGCTGGCTCCTAAAGCACTTGTTAGCTACCTCCCAGTCTGGCTCAGATCATCCTCAAGCCACTCTGCACACTCCTGCAGCCAGCAGAAAGTGGTGTCAGTGGCTTGCAGTCAGATTCTAAACTTCTACAGCTGGAGGAGGAACAATAATAAAACATTACATTAAAATACATCAGCTGTCTGTAGAGATCAGAGTGCATCTGCTGTACTGCAGATAGCACCCTGTAAGTGAAGTCTCTAAAGACAAATGGGGTGTTTTAACAAAGAATCATATTAAAGAAGGAAAAGAGAACATGCAATATCAAGATTTGCTTTGTTGTAAAACTCCCTCAGAAAGCAACAAGTTCAATATTAATAATTCAGGAAGGTAGGTAGCAGCTCACTTTGAATTCCAAGAGCAGGCTGTGTGACAAATTCCTGCAATTAAATGGTCAGGCTGCTCAGGCTGACGAAGACAAAACCCTTGGCTTTCATAGAACAAGAAACAAAGCCATAAGTGCATAAGCACGTCCATCCCACCTTGCTACACATTCTGCTATATGTTTTATCTGCAGTTGAATATTTTTGTAAATGCCCTGAGACCCATTTTCAAGAAACTACCACAGCTGCATGGGACTGATTTGTGCAAGGCCAAATACAATTTGAATGAGATGGAAGTTCTGTCCATGGCTGCCTACACCCTATAGGACCTATGCATGCTGTTAGCATTCAGTGAAGACAGGTGGGACACCAGAAACTGGGCACAAGTTCTGTTTGTCAGGAATATCCTCCTATAACTTGTCCCAGCGACAGCTGACAGAGCTGAGCAGAGAACAGTCTGCCTTGGCTTTAGTTTGCTGAGGGAAGGAAAGCAACAGCTGACATCCTCATTACTCTCAATTTTTAGATTTCAGGCACAAAAGACATTGTTTGGAAACATTTTTTTGTTCATAGCATCACCCCCTTTTTGAACAGTAGCTCAGTCTAACATTTTAAGACCTTGGAACCACTTTTTTCACCCGATTACCTAAAGACCCTTCATTTTTCAGTTCTTTTTACCAATTTAGTATTTTGCCTTTTTCTTCTTCCATCTCGCAGGAAGCAAGGAAACGCCTCACCAATCAGATACCTCTGATCATCCTGTCTTCTGTCCTTCATGACTTTGGAGAAAATGTGCAGACCTCAATGCTGCAACTTCTGCAAGATAAAGAGAAGGTAAACTTTCTCCTCGATGAGGACTCTGAAGCTGCTAAAACCAGGAATTGCCTCAGCCAAAGAGTTGAGCGTCTCACCAAAGCTCTCCAGTACCTGAGAGAATTCAGCTCCTTGTAATTTGTTTTTCACTTTTTTTCTCCTCATCTACTAGCATTACTGAAGAATTTTGTATAATCCAAAAAAAATGTAGTGTCAGCCCAGACTTTTGATACTAATTTCTGGTGTTCAGTTTTTCTTTATTTTCCATAATCATATGTGTTGTGGTGTGTTTTTTTTTTAAAATGATGTTTGTTCAGTGTCTGTTCATTTCCCTCCTCCCCAATCTCCTCCCCTCCCCAGCTGTCAATCTTCTCAAGCTCTTCCCTAACCCCCTCCTCTCCAAGTTGTCAATCCTCCCTTTCCCTGCCCCTTTCCCTAGAACATTCTCTGTCATTCCTTCTAGCCCCTTCCCCTTCTTCCAGAGCGTTCCGTCCATTTAGTGAGACTCAACACCCCATTGGTTATTTTGTGTTATTCCACTCCCCTGTTTCCCCTGATAGGTTTGTGATATGTTAGTCCCACCTTAAACTCCTCCCCTGCTCTACCCTCATTGGTTGCTGTTCCTTCACCCCTCCTGAGTTCTGGTATAAAACCTTTGTTTGCCCTCCCAGGAGGGTCTTGGGGCTCACTGAATAAATCCATGTTGTTACACCCCAAGTCCCGTGTCGCCTCCATCTGTGCCCGTGCTATAACTGGGACAGCAGAGCTCACAGGGGAGCAGCCGCCCGTTCTGTTCCCTCATCGCTCAGCTCACCACTGATACAACACGTGCAAAGAGCTGCCTTTGCATAAAGAGCTCCACTGGGGGAGTTGTGATTAAATAAACACTATCCCATTTTTGAACATTTCCTTTGTGAACTCTGTGCAACCACTGGAATAATCATTAAAAAGCTAACACTCTGAGGATTATGTGTTTTGTTTTTTGGTTTTTTTTTTCTCTTTTTAATGATGGAAGCTGTATAATTCACAAACTGTAGAAATCAAATTATCTAGCTTTCCTCAACGAAGCTTAATGCATGACACAGATCTCCCAGTTCCCTTTGTGTTTTTGGCTTGCTGGGGTTGTTCTCTTTCTTGCCATCACCTAAAACACACCTCTGCAGTGTCACCACTAAGTCTCAGCCCAGGAGGGAGAGAGGAGCACACAGCAGGCACGAAACCCTTCCAGCCTAGAAGGAAAAGAAAGCTTTTTTCCTTTATGTGACTAGTGCATCCGGACACTGCTGGCTCTGTTCAGCCTCCTTTCCCAGCTGTCTGATTTGCAGAAGGCCAAGAGGCTCTTCCTCTCAGATGTCTGCAGCATCACCTGAAATTTCAAGAATGATGGGGCAACTCACCAGAGGGCAGGATTTGGATGTCCAAAAGGAAAGAAACCTCCCAGGATGTTAAACATTACAAGGGTGTCTCAGCATGTGTTTTGCTGCCTTTCTCCTTTCCCTCCCAGGGCAAGGAGTGTTGCCCTGATTTTTAAAAGTGATAAGTTTTCTTTTATAGTTCTTTTGTGAAAGTCTTAAAGTTCTCATAAAACTTCTTCAGCCTTTTGATCTGTTTACATATTTTTACTGGAGTTCTCACTCACTGTTCATGTAAATAATGATTGTTTTGCATTCTTCTTTGTGAGAGAATTGATGGACTGTTGGTTTAACCAGTGTGGCTGGAGAGGTGGTAATTCCACTCTCCAATCTGCAGTCACCTATGGAATTCTATAAATATCAGATGCTCGAATAAAACAATATTTTTGGCCTTTGAACTTGCCAAGCATTTGTGTACTTATTTTGTGTCCAATAGCGACAAAAGGAGAACCTTTCCAAAAGCTTTTTCATTTCATGGAAGCCAATGCAAAATATATCACACACTGTGTTAATGAATTTTCACATGGAAGATTTGGCTTAATAACCAAAGGTAATGTCTGCATCCAGCTAGAAAAAATGTGTTTATACCAGCATTTGATGTTGTCATTTCCAAAAGGAGAGGTTTTGTCCCTGTCATATCCCCATTCACCCCCACATCCAGTTCCCTCAACCTTCTTGAACACTGCAGCCAGTTTCCTCTTTCTCCCAGTACATTATTTTGCTATTAGTGGCTTGCAGTGCTGCAAGAAGCCACAGAAAAATTGTCTCATACCTGTAACAATTTAATTTTAAAATTTCTGTTTTGAAAGTACTTTAAACTCTTTGGTTATTTCACAGTATCCCCCCATCCCCAGGATGTGCTATTGCAAACACCCATCTCACACCTAGAGGAGAGGCAAGGATACATTGCTCCAGGCAGCATGAGGAGGAATGACAAAACAGGGTGTGACTCCCTCAAGCCACTGCCTGCAGGCTAAACTTCCTTATTTAATTCAATTAGGTCAGAGTGATTTCATCAGTCCCAGCCACCAAAAACACATTCCTGGACATTTTGCTCTATTTCCCTGCGTTTTTTCAAGGACCTGAAATAATGGAATTAAAATAATCTCTCAGCTCACCCTCTTGGTTTTTTTGGGGGGGGGGTTTTGGGGGTTTTTTTGTTTGTTTGTTTGTTTGTTGTTGGCTTTTTTAATCAGACTCTCAAAGCACTTCATACATTGAATCCATCAACTGCTCCCAAAAACAAAATCCAAGTAAACAGATATAAAGCACAACTAAGGAAAACTATTCGTAAAAAAAAAAAAAAAAAGAAAAAAAACCAATTTATTGGTGCAGTGTTTACATGTAAGATAATTGCATTTCAGTACCAAAAGAGAAAACAAGACTAGTAGAGTCATTTCATTCAATAAAGATTTATCCTTCTTAACAAAGTGACTTGATATGGCTTTTTGATCCTCTACCACGATTATAAATTATTTTCAAAATCCTCAGTCAGGTGGCACTCGGATACGAATTACATTTTGCTAAAAACATACAGGTGGATACATAAAGGAGAGCTCTAAGGAATCAGAAGCCAAATTTAACAAATGAGGTAGTTCATCTCGTCCCGCAGAAACGCAGCTTTGTGTTTCCTTGTACAAAACATCCAGTCCCTGTCTGTGTCTGTGTGTGCAGCTCGAGGTGCAGCACAGCCTGGCTGGACACGTTTGCCCTTTGTCTGCAGGGAGAGGTTCAGAGTCACCTTCAGTGTGCTCAGGCAGGGACATCAGCACTGAGACTCCTCCTGCTGCAGCTCTGGGGCATCCCTGTCCAGGACATCCCTGACTGGGGTGTCCCTCTCCAAATCCCACCTTGACACCGTGCCCATTTTGGGTTCAGAGCAGCTTAAGGCAGAACAGCACATTTTTTGGTAAGGTCTGAGGCAGCCAGACTGCACCAGTCTGACTTTGATTGACGGCTGTGTTGAGATCCTGAGGATTTTTAACTACCTGAATAGACAGTGTATTCTTTTTTAATTTTATTTTCTGTGTCTGTACTGTAGTGCACGAAAAATTCCCTTCATATATATATCCCTCACCCTCTTACTGTCCTGAGACCCCACCTGGAATACTGCATCCAGCTCTGGGATCTCCAGCAGGGACCTGTTGGAGTGAGTCCAGAGGAGGTCACAAACGTGTTCCAAGGGCTGGAGCACCTCTGCTATGGAGACAGGCTGAGAGAGCTGGGGTTGTTCAGCCTCTGGAAGGCTCTGGGGAGACTTCACCACCTTTTCCAGTCCCTAATGAACCTGGAAAAGAGCTGGAGAAGGATTTAGGACAAAGACATGGAGTGAGAGGACCAGGGCTAGTGACATCAGAATAAAAGAGGGCACATTTACATTAGATTTTAGGAAGAAATTCTTCCCTGTGAGGGTGGTGAGGCACTGGAACAGGTTGCCCAGGGAAGTTGAGGATGGTCCAGCACTGGAAATGTTTAATGCCAGTTTGGATAGAGCTCTGAGCAACCTGGGATAGTGGAAGGTGTCCCTGCCCATGGCAGCGGGGTTGGAAGTGATGATCCTTAAGGTCTCTTCCAACCCAAACCATTATGTAATTCTACACTAAAAAAACATTCATTTCTTTTTAAATTGCCAACCAGCAGCTCGGAGATTCAACATTCACATTACTTAACATTTAATTTAAAAACTACTAAACCAACTGTCTCAGCATCCTGCTACGAAAATCTGAAATTAAATTGTGATTGAAATTGTCATTGTAAGCCTGATCATCAAGTGAAAGTTATTCAACAAAAGAGAGACATTTCAGCAAGCAGTTGACAGAATGATTCTGCCAGACACCACAAAGAGAAGAAAGGTACTCATTGTGATAATCCTTCAGTGATTAAGATCTGTCACTGTAGCCAGCACAGAACTAAGTGTGTAATCCTTCATGTTACTTTTAAAAAGAAAAATCAAAGAGGAAAAATAAAATCAACCACAAAGTGAATAAATATCCCAGGCCCCCATGGCTTCATTCATTCTTGTCCTCAGGAACATCAGTTAGCAATGTTGTCATCTGTTTGCCTGTTTAAAAGACAAAACAAAACAGAAAACAACGGCTCAGGTTGTCTTAACAATCATTTGGATGCTTCCCAATAAAACAGCTTAGTTATCATGCAAGTCACATTTATTTATTTAATATAAAATCACGTTTGAGGATGCGGGGCCTTAAAATGTATGGAAAAACGGCAAATATTTTACCTGCATATTTTTATAAATCCAGTCTGTAAACACAGTCATATTCCCGTACACTCCGGGTTTGTTTGGAGTGGCACAGCCAGTGCCCCAGCTGGTATCTCCAACCAGCCACCACACAGAGTGGTGCAGAGTCACCAGAGGACCTCCACTGTCACCCTGCCCGGGACACAAACACCCTGTTAGTGACACAGCCACCAGGAAAAGCACCACCCATTTCACTCCAGGAACACAGTTTTAGTTTCAACATAAACCTACCTGCCATTTAGGGAGTCACTAAAACAAGATATGGTGGCAATTTTGGTGTTAAATGATGTCTGCTTCCAATGGGGATGAAAATAATTTGCCCAGAGCCCTCTAAGTAAGATTGGCATTATTGACTTCCTTGCTCACTAGCACAACACTGTGGTTAACAATATAATAATGATAATAATGGTACAGTTATGGGGAGCATTTGATCACTTTCAAGTACCAGGTAAAAAAACATCCCTGAAGCATTAAAAAGCAGCCTCACCCCCTTGGGAATTTAGTGAGAACTCAGCACTGGCAGCCATTCAGATGACAAAACAAAAGCTCTCCTCTTTAAAGGGATCCACCACCAAAAGAACCAGAAGCCCAACCAGATGTAATGTAAATTTTTAATTTTTAGGAGGGCATAGGATTTATTTGCAGTAGAGAAATAGATAGATAGATAGATAGATAGATAGATAGATAGATAGATAGATAGATAGATAGATAAAAAACCTACTAGCAAGGCCACAAAAATAATCAGATCATTTTTCATTTCATCTTTTATATAATTATTAGCTATTAATTAGGAATAATTACCTGACAGGAATCAATTCCCCCTGCTAGGTCTCCAGCACAGATCATTGTAGGCAGAATCATGCCATTGTAGATATAAACAGCATTACACCTCGAATGTTCTATTAAGGGCACTGCAACATAATTCAAGCTGTTTGATGTTTTACCTAGAATTGAAATATGCACAAACGTGCAAAGACAAAACCAGAATCAGCATCACATTGCTTTGCTGTCACAAAAAATCCCAGCAGCCAAGATGAAATAAACTTCCTAGAAGCAGTGGGATGGAAATTTAAGATGTAAGTCTACAAGAGGTCAAGAGAACCTCCCCCAGTTTCTTTCTTATACCAAAAAAAAACCTTTTCCTCTTTCCAGTCTTGCAAATTTACTTCCACCATGCTCTTCAGCCTGAGGTGGTGGAAAGGAGCAGCTCCTGCCCTTTCCCACATCCACAGGACATGCCTGGCACACAGTAATCCTTGCTGCAGGAGAGGTGGCCCTGCCAGCAGGGGGAACAGAAT